CCACGGTTGTAAATCGGCGAATCAGAAAGTAAAGAATATTACCCGAAATGGGCTGCGGCCTCACTCATCAGTACAGCAGGGGCCGAGACGAACGCGGTGAACGAGATTAACCTTATCAGGCTCTAAATATCCTCACTTCTCACGACTCAAAGAAAACGCGAAGCACAGGACAACGTTAAGCACCCTGCAGTACGATAACTGAAAAGTAACAAATATTGTTATAATGCTCAACTTGCTCAACGATCCCAGCTCGAGGTCTCATGTGAAACTAACCCTGCAAAACCGCTATCACGCGAAATCAAGGTGGCTTTGTTGACAACAGGAAACTCAGACGCAATACCACCGGTAGAAAGACATGGCGAGAGCTCAAGAGACGGCTTTAGACCGACTCTACGTCTTCCGTAACCTGCACAGAAGGCACGTTCTCTTTCGACCCATCCAACCACTTAAAAGGACCCTAACCCACGAAATGGAAAAAGGTGCTGTTTTAAAGATTAAAATTGCTGACTGGTGATTCAAACACTTAAGTCACGTTGCAAACGAGGTCAAGGTATCTTTTGGCGTCACGTCCTCTCTGCTTCTATCCCTCGGGAGACGACAGTCAAGACCATCGAATTACATCAACAAAGTAAATAGGAGGAAACGGAGAATCACGGCCAAGACAATAAAATGCACTATTTCTCAAGGTTTGGTCCCAAACGGAGTAGCTGGAAAACATGCCAGTGGGTTCGCTAATTTCTGGACTGAACTAAGGGATTCTGGTAGCTGTTGGATCCATTGGCAGGTAAACCGCACAAACCGACGTTCTCCTCTCGTGGCTATCGAAGGAAGCCAGATGTTGACATTCAAACCAACTTGAAATCCCTCTTTCCGCGGGTATAATTTGCGGTGAAAGCAGAAGTGAACAACCAGCTAGCCTTCCCGGATTTTCAAGTCTGCTTCAAAAATTACGGTGAAACAAGACTCCCTTGGCCGAAGACTAAGACGACATGCATCTTCAAACCCCCTACCATGTCACGTTGCAGCGTAGACCTAACAACATGAACTACTTGTCGAACCACTTCCACCCCTCTCTGACTCCTTGATCTCTAAACTCTCTCCCCTGTAATGTTGAATTGATACTTATATTTTTGTTACTCTACACTGTCTTGTATTATTGCAATTGCCTGGTGATGAATAATCGAAAACATACCTTCACCAAACTTGACTGTTTGAATATTGACATAGGCATCGTCGCTGAACTTAAAGAACCAAAGTGCTTATCAAAGTGAAAAAGGCGGAAAGTGTGCCGAATTTTAACAGCAAACACTTAATCGGACGCTAACAAATTTGTGTGAGCAGGACGCCTTGTAGTGGGCTTCGAGACAAGATTGCTGGATTTCAATATCCTCAAAGCATGCCCAAAGAGAACGACTACCCCCGCAGCTTTAACATCAGTGCATCCCACAACGAGACGAGATAAAATTGATGCGGTTCCAAATTTTGATGGGTACTCTCGTATGTCAAGAACGTCTTGGTGGCCGTCAGCCGCCTTCTTACACCACTGGGAATGGAGATGTCACAGACCACGCGATGAGTTCGAAGGACCGGAAATCTCGGCAATAAACCTTCGGAGGCGCTTACTGGGTCTTATGCAATTGAAGGCTGAGCAACTACGTCTGGGAAATCGGGGGTTATTCTTGACGCGCATGATGTGCAGAGGAGTGGAGCTACCTCTTAAGTTGCATCCAAAATGCTCGCAGACAGCTGGTATCATGGTTCTCCGGCTCGTGGTCCATCAACAAGCGCACTTATCTCCTTTTTTTCCTATTCAATTCTGATGGTTTGTCTGAAAACAGCTACCAGTCAGTCGGTGAGAATGCGGGTTAACGCTTACTAT